AGCTCGTACTAGTTTGGAAACTGCATGCAATAGGGTAACCAGAGGAGAACAATTTTTCCTGAGAAATAACCGACATCAATTTTCTAGTGGAGATAGGTATGTACTCATGATAATATTATGTCTTCTAAGTTAATATATTTTTGTTGCATCGAAAAAATAATAACACTACTTGATAAAGCACCAGGCGCCAAATTAGCGTCCCTCTGATGAACACGCAGTTGGCCAAGTTTCTTTCATTTTACCCAAACGTTAGAAACGATTATCTTATATGCACAAAAAGTGGGCTAAACGTCCATCTTCAAAAATCTAGTGTACTAATAATCCCTTCCAGCAGATAGCTAGAGAACGATAATGGTAAACCGCTCAACACCGAAACATTAAGTCCAGTGAAAATTAAATCCCCGGAGAAATTGATTGATCACTGGGTGGTGATCAATCTCATGCTTGTCTAGTCCTTATTAGTGTGACCACATCTCAGTCCTACAGGAGGTTAGACACGGCTCGGATAGCTCAGTGGTAACGTCTCTGACTGTGAAGCTGGGTGACATGAGATCGAATCCGCCAGGGAGCACCAGTTCCCTCAAGATTACAGGTACACCTTGCTTACGAGTGCCAAGTAGCACGAAACCCGGGTCCAGGGTTTCCTGTTGACTACCTCCAACCACCATATAATCCTTAACATACAGATCAGGAAGAACTCAAGAAATAACGCTGTCGCCAGATCAAACACTTAAAAAGAATTAGCAGAATACATATTTAGTTAAAGTTCTTCGATTTGCTCAAAGTGGTTAGCGTGAACTGAGGAGAAATTTTTAAAAGCACTAAAAGTGATGGAGGTGATTACTTTCCAAAAGAAAAGGACACTCAACAAGTAATATATAAGGTTTTGTTTGACTCAGAGTTATTACTGGGTATTCGAGAGCTTATCTATAATATTACATTAAACGACCCCATAAAATACTGTCGACTTGCATCAATGTATCTATGTGTAAGCATTTCAAACGAAAAAACGGATCACGACGTGAATTTATTTTTATCTGCTACATCAAAAATTGCTTAACGTGTATACCGTGGTATGGGATCATAAACAAAACCAACACGGATCTCTTACACTGATCCTAGATATTAGGGAATATTTTCTTTATAAATATCATCCCAAAGACCTATAACTTTGAAATTTAAAAGCCAACATCTTTATTTCAGAGGCAACTTATGAGGAACAATTTGTTTTTAATATATGCTACAAAAAACATCATGGAAATGACCTAGCATATATCAGAGCAACGCACACCAAAACTAGGATATTCTGCCTTGGATATTCTGTTGTGACTGAATGACAGTTAGAATACTTATTTGACCTTAAAATTAGCGTACCTCTACTTGGCCATCAAATTTTAGGCCGTATTTCTCCTAATGATCTCTCAGAAACATCTTTTGAAAGAAGAACTTATATTTTTTTAACGATCTCTACACTGACCTGTTAAAACCATATTAATACATATCTGTCTTTTCTGAGATACTAGTGACCTTTGGCTACTAGACCGTAAAAACATTGTTCGGAAGCTCAGTTTTTGACACAATCACTTGAAATGATTGTTCACCATATTTTTTAATCATTCAGTAAAAGGTCACGAGACTAGCCAAGAAGGACGGTGATCTTAGACCCCGTCTAATGAAGATAACCTTCCCATCTCACATGGCGGCTGCAGTTCTGCAAGCATTTCGTGCTAATAGACGTCGATTGCCACCTGGAATCCACATGCACCCGGATAGGCCATACGAAGTTAGGACCAAGAACAAAGGCAAGTTGGAGCTGACCATTCCACTTGTTGACTGTCTAAACGATAAAAAAAAGCGTGTAAAGGACAGGGCCTACCACCTCGGCAAACCTCATATAGGTGGGCTACCTGTCCATTCACATAAGGTTCATACAGAAAAACAGGACGAAGCTCACGCGTTTCAAATTGAAAGCATAAACTGCTTATTTATGAACGCCGCGAGTCTACCAAACAAACTGGATGAACTACGTGAACTTAGCAACGCTAATAAGGCCCATCTGATAGGAATATCTGAAACCTGGATATCTTCTCAGTTCTCGGACCAAGAGTTAGCATTACCTGGGATGACTTTGTTCCGCAACGACAGAAAAACAGGAATTGGGGGCGGAGTAGCCATATACATAAGCTCTTGCTCGGAGGTGCACCAGGTTCACAACCTGGAGTTTAACAATCTTGAGGAATCCATATGGTGCTCTGTAAGATTGTCTAGTACTTCCAGGTGTCTAGTCGGAGTCATTTACAGGAAGCCAACTGCCGACACCGAGTATGATAGTCGTATGCTGGAAGGACTATCCCGCTCTATCCGTCTCGGTTTCACACACATCCTGATTCTAGGGGACTTTAATCTCCCTAGAGTCAACTTCGCGGAACACACGTACACTGGAGGCGACAACTCAACTGAAGCTCGGTTCTTCAACCTCATCGATAACTTGGGCTTATATGAAAATGTGAGGTCGGCAACTCGTTGGAGAAACAGTCAGACACCATCGCGCTTAGACTGTGCATTCACTAACGAAGAATTCCTAGTCGACAACCTCTCAATCCAGGCTCCTCTGGGAAAGAGCGATCATGCCGTCATAGCCTTCAGTTTTGTCATCAAAACTAAGCTAAGGTATCCCAACAATACTTTGCGTTGGAATTTTAAACGGCTGAATGTGCCAGCTCTACATGACTATCTACAACAGGTGGTTTGGGATGTTCACCCTCAACTCGATGTGGATGGTCATTGGGACTTCTTACTGCACACGCTCTTATGTGCTACAGACCATTCAGTTCCTCAAACGGTTCCCAAAAGCTGCAAGCCACCTACAGTAATCAAGAACCGTACCCTTCGCCTGCTAAGCCGCAAAAGGCACTGTTGGGCAGAATACAAACGAACTAATAACGATGGAGCGTATAGGCAATATAAACATATCAGGAACATATGCACGAAGGCTATAAGAGAAGACAGGCTTCAGTACCAAACAAAGCTTATGGACAAATTCGCCTCTAACCCTAGAAGCCTATTCCGTTATGCAGCCTCTCTTCGTCAAGCCAAAACAGGAGTTTCTCAACTGCTAGGTCTTAACGGCCCGACCAACAATGATGGCGACGCCGCTAACCTTCTGGCGGCACATTACTCTCAAACATTTCAACCGGCTGACATCAACTTTATTGACGACAGTTTCATCTGCAATTCCACAGGACTTTCTGAAGTGGACCTAAGCGCTGACTTGGTGTTCCGGAAATTGCAGCACTTAAGACTTGACACTTCTCCTGGCCCGGATATGGTTCATCCTGCCATACTGAGGGAGGCAGCCTCAATCCTGGCAACGCCGCTTAGCGTGATGTTTTCACACTCGCTTAGCCGAGGCAAATTACCCGAAAATTGGAAGTTGGCTCACATCACACCAATTTTCAAAGGTGGTCGACGCAATGAACCTTCAAGTTATCGGCCGGTGGCTCTTCTGTCATTACCTTCAAAACTCATGGAGTCCCTGATATGCGACGGTTTAAATGACTATCTACTGTCCTTAAATTTCTTCTCACCCCAACAGCATGGTTTCAGGAAGGGTTACTCTTGTATAACCAACCTGCTGACTGCGGTGGACAGATGGACAAGCATCCTCGATCGCAAGGGAAAGGTTGATGTCATTTACCTTGATTTCTCAAAAGCTTTTGATAAGGTTAACCACTTGTGTCTTATCAACAAGCTCAAACGACTAGGTATCAAACCACCTCTAATCGACTGGCTTACTTCATACCTAAAAAATCGACACTTTAAGGTTAGGGTTAATTTCATTTTATCTCAGGCTATGGAATGTCCTAGTGGGGTCCCCCAGGGCTCAGTACTAGGGCCTCTTCTCTTCTTGATCTACATAAATGATCTTCCTCAACAGGTAACGTCAGACTTATTACTTTTTGCCGACGACGTGAAACTTTGGAGAGAGATACGCAACCAAGACGATACACAGGCACTTCAGGAGGATCTGACTCGACTTCAAAGTTGGGCAGACGTTAACGGACTTACCTTTAACACTTCAAAGTGTAAAGTAGTCCATCTGCGACATGTCGCAAACTACAGTTACAACTTAGGAAACTCCTCTCTAGTAGTATCCCAAGTCGAAAAAGATTTAGGAGTCCTGGTGCCCCATGACTTAAAGTCTTACGCTAACTGTGACAAAAATGCCTTCCGAGCAAACCTTGCACTGGTAACGTTGAGGCGCATTTTTGGCCAGTTTGACGGAAGAACTTTCCATATAATCTTCAATAGTTTCATCCGTCCCCATTTAGAGTACGGAAACATAGTACTCCCCCCTCACTCCAAAAGGACAAGGTCACTTTGGAGCGTATCCAACGGCGAGCCACGGAATCAGTTCGAGGACTCAAATCTAAGCCTTACGAAGAACGCCTCCGTTCACTAGACCTTTACCCACTAGAATATAGGCGTCTTAGAGGTGATTAATTAATGGCTTATAGTATTCTTAACACTTCTGGACATCCTCTTAAACACCTACTTAAGCTTAGTTCGAATAATAACCTAAGGGGTAACACCCAGAAACTGGAAACACAACATAGCAAGACGGAATGTAGACACAACTTCTACTCTTTAAGAGTTGTCAAAAGCTGGAATTCGCTGCCGGCCGAGCTAGCCCAAGCGACTTCTCAGGAGTCCTTCAAGAGGCAACTTGACCTATTCTTAAGAACCAAGGACAGCATCACACTATGATTTACCAATTTCTTTTCCTCTTTTATTGTTAACATACCTAGGTTCCTGCCTGGAGGATTTGGTGATCCCCTGCTACTAGACACGGAAGCCTGTTAAGCGAAAGCTTCTTCTATTCCGTCCACAACCATTTGAACCATTTGAACCATTTGAACGTAGATTTTGGAAATTCAAAAAGCGTACCACCTATCGCGAGAGTATACTAGTTGAACTGCTTTCAATAATTGTCTTTCAAAATGAGTGCTGGTAAGACAAAATTCGACCAAAATATAACTGAATTAAGACAAAGCGGACCCACCATATCCAAAGTCTCCGGATCTCGACGGTCTCCCGCAACCATATCCCCCCAATATCCTGGTAAGAACAGTTGTTTGTGTTTGGACTAACCAGTACTATTTTGATCAGGCTAAGTTTAGAAATATTTCGAAGTTTTTATTCAGGCTAGTCTATAATTTGTGGACTGCCTCTGTAAGTGACTGAAGTGACATTGAAAATTCTCAACGAAATAATGTGATCAAAATATGGTTATAAATTAGTATGAGGACTCATGACTAAAAGCTAAGGCCGTAAAATAATATAAGGAACTGAAATTAGGTGTTTCATCGCGAATCAACATCAGCTATGATGCTAAAATGTAATTTAGTCATATTGATCTATGAATTTCGCGCCGAAATCCATGTGTCGTTAACTTTGGTCTGATTTGTTCGCCAATAGCTTACAGCCTCCTTACAAAAAACTGCTTGAATTTCTTTTCGTGTTTCTGGTCATTGTGGTACAATACACGTCTCTGACAATATATTTAAAGTTCGTGATTGTCTTTCGATAATTAAACTCTTAAGATTTCACCCTTAGAATTATTGGAGTAAGTGATATAACTGGATGTTACTCAAATATTTCAAATCAGAACCCGATGGGCATGAAAATGTTGTAGTTTTTACCTCCTGTTTATTTAAAAAGACATATCGATCATGGTCAGATTGTAATAATTGCCATTTTCGTCCAAATTTTGATGTTGACTATCATTATCGTTTTTCGGAATGGTTGCGACAGATCACAAAGCCTTTAATGATTCGTTCTATCTAGCGTCAACGTCAGTCTTTTGAGCTTTAATACGATATAAGAGCACTTGTTTAAGTATAAAGAACATATCTGCGACCAGTTTATGTGATACACCTCTCTACATCTATATCATCAGTTTGGTAATCCTGAGTTCAACAGTCTATTCCTCCTATCGACATATTTGTTTCTTCAGAACACTGTGGTCTCCCATCTTGTTTGCATTCTGTGTATCATAACTATAGTATCGTGGTGTTGAAATTGCCACATCCAACCATGAATTATGTATCATCAAGATAAATAATATGATATTTCAAATATTGAGAGCACATTTGTCAACAAAGATTTGAAAGCTACTCAAAAGTGAAATAATAAATTCAACACATGAAATACCCCAACACAAAAAACATAGGGTATTACCTTTTATCAACATGCCAAAAGCTTCGCTTACAGTTTATGGTCTCGTAAATGCCGTAAAACAGTTTCAGTTTGGGAAGGACAGGAGGCTTGATGGCCTATGTTATTTCTGGCAATGGTGGTCTCTCAGTTGATCCAACTTTCTCTTGAAAGAGTCGACGGATGGAGCCTCAACCACGTGCTGAGGTGGTGAATTCCACTCGTTGATGATTCGATGGGAAAGTCGATAGTCAGCTAATAAGTAATTTGTTCTCGGCTTATGAACTTTTTTGGAGTGTCCTCGTAAATTCCCTGTTTTGGAAGACAAGAAAAATGAGGGCATATTGGGTGCAAATTTATCACTAAGCAATTTGTAGACTGTAATCAAGTCGCCTCTAGTTCTGCGATATGACAACGGGAATAGGTTCAGCTTGGCCAGTCGAACTTCATACGGAAGCTTCGCTATTCCGGGAATCAACTTAGTCGCCGTACTCTGAACCTTTTCCAGAAGCTCACTGTCTTTTTTTAAGCAGGGGCTAGCCGCTTGTATGCACTACTCAAGTTTAGGGCAAACGAACACTGTATACAAAGTTAAAAACGTTTTAGCGTTGACATGACTAAAAGCTCTACGTATTGACCATAAGGTTCTAAAACCTTTGGCGGTTATTGCACGGCAGTGTGCAGTAGTCTTTAAGTCTTGACTAACGATAACTCCTAAGTCATTATATGTCTGGACGACTGGTAGCTCAGTGTTATTCATCGTGTATGTATCTGTGCCTTGATGACCGATACGCATCACAACACACTTGGAAGTATTTATCGGCAACTGCCATGTTTGAGACCATTCAGATAACTTCTTCAGGTCATTTTGAAGTTCTAAGCTATCACCCTCACATCGTATCGTTCTCCATATCTTGACATCGTCAGCATATAGCAAGACCGATGATGATAGGAGACGAGGAATGTCATTTACATACAAAAGGAATAGCACTGGCCCCAAAACTGTACCCTGGGGCACTCCACTAAGCACAGTTTCCCAGCTAGATAACTTTGAGTTCACCCTTACTCTTTGTTGACGCCCAACTAAGAAGTCTTTTATCCACATCAATAGATTGCCTCCAATCCCGACATTCTTAACAGCCGGTTGTGCGGAACTTTGTCAAAAGCTTTACTGAAATCAATGAGGGCGACGTCTACAGGTAGCTTTCGGTCCTTAAGAGCGCAACAGCTTTCACGAGCCACTGATAAGTTAGTGAGACAAGAGTAACCTATTCTGAAACCGTGCTGCTTCTCCGAGAGGATCCGTTTTTCATCGAGATACTTAAACAGCTCCTTCCGAATAATCTTTTCTAATATTTTAACAACCACACTAGTTAGGCTAACGGGGCGGTAGTTCTCAGGTTTGTGTTTCGTGCCTGTTTTGAAGACAGGACTTACTATGGCGTTTTTCCAATCTTTCGGTAAGCGACCCTGCGTAACGGATAGGTTAAAGCATGTACTTAAAGGGCTTGCAACGAAGTTAGATAATTCCTTCAGTAGCCTAGGATGTAATTCATCGGGCTCCGTGGATTTCCCTATGTCAAGCTTATTTAGCAGACCAAAGACATCGAGTTCTTTAATGGTCACGCTATCCAATGTATGTACGGGGGGATCTGTATACGCTGACGGGAAGGGTGTTTCTATGGTATATACGTTGCTAAAGTAGTTCGAGAACACTTGAGCCTTACCAAAGTCGTCCTCCACTAATGATGAAGCAGTACTGTCTCCACATAGTGCAGGAATATTTCCTTTTCTCCTTGTCCTTTGGTTTATATAGGGATACAAGCGTTTAGGACATTCTATGGATTCCTTAACAAGTTTTTCTTCGTACAATTTTCTAGACTTACGGAGGGTCGAGGCACAAGCATTCCGAGCCTTTTGGTACTGAGATTTTGACTCATCAGTCCCCAGTAACCTAAATCTATCCCACCTTTTCCTTTTCTTACGAAGAAGGATACGGACCTCCCTACTGAACCATGGTGGTGAGTTTTTCGGCCCCTTTGGTATAGTCCAAGGGATGTGAGGTGTGGTAACTTTTAAGTATGATTTTCGAAATGCGTCCCAGGCCGTTTCAATGGAGGACTCTGGGTCTATAGTTCAATCTATTAACGATGCTGAGTGCATGATGTCTGGTATGTTTGCTTTCCAGACGTTGGGTCTGGACTGGACTGACGCGTCCTCATGACTGGCAGTTATATGGAAGTCGAAAGTTAAAACTGCGTGATCACTTTTACCTAGGGGTGGTATATGATGGAGGTTTGCAACATCATCCTCATAGTGGGTCAGTATAAGATCTAATAAGGATGATTCAGTGTCCAGATCGTACCTTGTTGCTTCTTTCACATGTTGCACTAGGGCACATGTGATAACCGCATCAACTAGTTCCTGCTCGAAGGAATTTTCTGACGATTCAGTTCGCAGATTTTCCCAGTCTACCATAGGTGCATTGAAGTCCCCTAGGATTAGACATCGACCACTTTGGGACCAAGTATTGAGACTGCTTAACAGGATGTCATTTGCCTCACAGCTTGGACTGCGATAGACCAAACCAATCAGCAGCTCTTGTCCCTTGCATTTTAAGCGAAGACTAACTAATTCACACGTCCCACTCTCATTGGATACACTAACGATAATGGCAAATGGGATAGCATTCCTAATGAATAGAGCTAGTCCCCCTCCTTTGCGCTTTTGTGTTCTGTCGTAGAATTATTAATTAGAAAATAAAATTCAGCAATCTCTCAAAGTGAATCATAATTTCTAGATACCTAATGCCAGATTTTATAGTGTATGAGGAACAATGAAGTTGCTTGTCCTCATAAAATTGTTATTATTTTGCTCTTCTTGAGGTGACAGAAAAGTATGGTAAATACATAAAAGACATTTTCAGGTGAGCTAATATTTCCAACTGGTGATAATTTTTTCTCAGTAAAATGACAGTCAGATTCAAAATGACTTACTTTATCTCCAGGCTTAGATATTTATGAACGGAAGAGTGGGTTTTTAAACAACAGGCAAATTCCTTACTTGGGTTAGATTTCTTATTTACCTAAAAAGTCTACCATCCTTCAGAAATTATTAACCATTCCACCTTTTATACTTGTTAACTCATTTAAAGACTAGAACACGAACAAACATGAGCAAACTACAGCATATACTTGTTTGAGTCAATATTTAAAGGCCCTGAGAGAGTTCTTAATCAAATCTGTTTGTAAAATTCTACCTCTAAAAGTTATCCATAGACTAAGACAAAGCTATGAGTTAGTTGGGGCTACCTTCACTCAGCTATTCAAGCGTTTATTGACCGATCTAAACAATGTACAATTACGTTCCACTGATGCAACCAGCCACTGAAATATTGTAAAATTAAATGCCTGTAAAAGTAATGTCTCGTGAAATATTTCGTGTGGAGCTTATTAAAAGATCTATTCTACGATATAAACTTTATCAGGTTTTAGTTTGAAATTTTAAAAATTCCAAGATGAAGTGATAGTTATTTTCAAGATTTTATCCAGCAAAACTTCTGTTTGGTTTTAAATGACGAGTAGATTCATCAAATCAAAGGCACCCGAGTCTTTTGGCGAAGACCTCATAATGTGCACATTAAATACAAGTAATGACCTTGAATATATGATGAAAACCCGTACGACATATTTGAACTTTTTCTAAACCAAGCTCCTTTTCCTATCGATTACATGTCAATCGACCTTCCTTTAATTCTTTTCTGATTAATTAAAACGGTAAGATTGGACTTTCTCAGTCAGGTATAGACTAATAATAGAGGATAACGTACTAAGTCCCTCACTTAAATTGCCTTGGAAATCTCATAAAGCCCAGTAAGTAGATGTTGGGTTAAATTACAGAATTAAATCAAAGACTTTGGCTTCTAGTAATTTATTCCATTTGTGACATGGGGAAGATATCCGTATGATAACCAGAACATTATTGATCTGTGCAAAATATCCTTTTTCTGGTCTGTCTATGAAACACGGTCTTTGGTAGTACGGGATATTTGTAAGTTACCAGCGTTGTAAACGATAACACGGGTGGGGACAAACAAATGTATTTTAATGCAACTTTATAGAATATCCTGGTAGATTCTGAGAACCATGAAGTGAATACATCATTTGCAAAATATTTGTATTTCATCATACACACCTTGGGCGAATTCCTTGCGTGTGTTAAAACCGCTGGTTCAAAAATACCGATGTCAGATGCAGGACACTAGGTAGACATGAAAAATTAGTCGATGAAGCGATAACCCTTCTTTGAATGGAACGGTCAGGACATGCATTACCTACCCTCAACCTTTGCTTGCCACGACACTCGACATTTGTCATTTCAGGATCAGGTTTAAATAAAGTTAATGATCCTCTGACCAAGATGTGGTTTCATTCTATTAATTCAATGATGCTTGGACTAAGCCATGTTTTTTTATGTAGATTACCATACTGTAGTTTTTGGAATTATCGTGGCCAACGGTTGAAAGCGCTGGGTGATATGACTTATAACCAGTTGTTATGGCACAAAACATCCATTCTTTGTCTCCTTTTTGATGTTGAATATAGGAATTGTCCCATTCATTTTACCCGTTAAATTCATTCTTTCTCCTTAAATAATATTTTCGATGCCTATTCTTTTGTAATAACACTGAAATTATCATTTTTCTGTCCTGATATTCCCCTTATAACTTAATCTTCCTGTGCTGATTTGGTTTTGGGACCTTAATCTGTGAACAAATGTATCAAACTTTACTCAACTAATCACAGACTAGAAAAAACAATTGCTTCGTCATGCTGTTATCAGGATTTTGTTGACTTCTCATGACTGAGTAGAAATAGTGAAATTTTATTTAGATTCATCGCGTAGTCTGTTCGGTTTCTAGGGTTTTGCTGTGCTTCTGTTCATGGTGTGTCTTCGTTTACCAATATTTATGTATTTAAATCAATAAATAAATGAAATTTACAAAATGACAGGTCTCGTTCATATTTCAAACTTGTATTGCTCATACAATTCTCAGCTTTAATATACCCATATGTTGCCAGTAAAGTGAAACAAAAGATAGAAGATGAGTTAAATCAAAATTATGTTTGCTTAGATGCCTAAAATCAGACTTAATTCTCCAGAAAACAATGACTTGATTATATATACAAGTGACCGCAGTTATAGGGAATATTTTGTGCTGACTTTTCATAAGTAATGCATGACTAACGAACGATGAGGGCTGATTTTCTCAAACGTGTTCCAAAAATATCATTCCTTTTTATAGTAGACTAGTAACTTTTCCCACGCTTTTACATTTGACTTCAGTTTAATGTGACTGTTATTTTCAAATTATTTTCCTGTTCGTTATAACTACTGACAACATTTTTTAATCATTTCTGTTCTGTCCAACAATTAGCGTTTTTTATCACACTCAAGATACAGTACTAATCGGCAGTTGTGTGTACAGATATGAAATTCATTATGGGATCAATTTACACTTCAGCATTCTGCAACATATAAGCTTTTTGCCCATACATAACTTCTGCATCTTGAAATAAACACTTGTACAATCAAATAAGAAATTATTAGCAGTTTTCGGGTTTCACTACATTACTGTACTAACGATTTTATACTGGACTATAAATTACTTTGTGAGCATAAATACGGTCAATCTCCTCAAGATAAAAATAAGAATTTTGACAGAAACGCTAAATCCGATGTTTCAGTTAAGTGTCTGTTATCAAACTTTACCAAAATAAATCTTGTTTGTTCACCGATGAATTCGTAGATCTGATCTTTTGTAGAAATTCTATCATATGAACTAAAGACAATGCAGCAAAAATAACCTCTGTGACTTACTATTTCCAGTTAAAATATCCTACTAAACACATCAATGTTTCTAACCATCGATCTCTATTTTTTACAGTCCCCAGTATTTTACTATAGAATCAAGAAAAACAATTATTGGTTCCTTATTCATAATTCGTCACTTAACATTAATTCCCCAAAGATTTCTCCTTCTACATAAAATACAAACATATTGAGCTCATTTTTCTCAGATATCACTTGTACAGAACTCATCAAGAAGCAAACTTTATACTTATGACAATCAGTTATTTACTTTATCCACTTGGTAATCAAAATGAACAAATTTTAAACCTTCTTTAGATACGGTAGTTGTGGAACAGCCTTGTCCGATAATCACCGATTCACATTTTGTTCCCGGACCAGATCCAGTAAATACCGTGTGTCCATACTGTCATAAAGATGTTACAACTCTTGTGACCTACAAAACAGGAATATTAACATGGGCGGGATGTTTTGGGATTTTTATAATTGGGTAAGTCTTCTCATATTTGTATATATACATTTATGCATATCATACTTCACTCATATTTCGAGATTATCAAGAAAATTAGCTACGTAATTCTGAAATATTGTACTCAACCGGAAAAGTATCAAGCAGGTGAGAACTGGGAGCGTATATTTCTCTTTTGATAATAAAATTTAATATTGCCAGTACATCTGACATAAGATTATTAGGTTTTTTTTTGAAAGTCTCATACAACTCCTCCTTGACTAATAAGAAGCAAAAACCTTTAGATATTCACTGTAATCTTTAATAACCTTTGTGTTACATTTCACATATCTCCGTATTTAAACTACATTGAACAGTCCTGTCATCTGAACATTTAAAACAGTCAAAAATCTCTTTAATTCCCCATACGTTTTTATTAGTAAGAATGAATAATCAATTTGATATCCATCTCAAGACCATCAAGCAAATAACGATGAAAACATATGTATAGAATTATTGGAAATACATTCTTATCATTATTGTATAATTCCATACATAAAAAATTATGAAAATAGTATGATGAAAGTTAGCTCTTCAACATAACAAACACAGATCATTTACAACCCTAATAATCCCAATGATAAAAAAACTCCTAGTCTCAAATTCATCTACGTAGCTGTTATGCCAGAAAATATTGCGAAAATTAATTTGCCTTTAGTTAGTAAAAACAACTGAGATAAACAATTAACCATCGGCGTATAACACTAACATAACAAATCTAGGCTTATCAACTTGCTAAGCTGATTTTTATTCCAGTAATGCACAATCAAACCTTCATATGGCATATAAATTCGGATATTTATATGTAGCAATAGGAATCATATCAATCAGCTACTGAGTCATTTTTCAATAGTTCATATTCCCAATAAGTTCGTTTTAACATTCAGTGATCCACCATATGAATAACTGCATCGCTCTCAACTTTTATAATTTTGTGCTTCCCAAAAATGTGCAATGAAAGATAATAATAAGTTTATTCACCCTTTAAAAAATACTACATTTTTAGAGGGAACATTAAATCACCAAGTTTAAGCTAGAAACTTTGCCCTTTTGGTGGTGTTTTGTTCTCTGATGTCATCCACCTGAGCTACTTTGCCCTTCTTATTCATAAACCTATCATCTATGGTAAAGAAGGTGACGTTTTTAGTTTATAAAAAAAACTCGCAAACTCAAGTAGTTTAATTATTCAGATGTCTGTTTTTCAGGTCCATCTATTTTAATATAAAATAAAAAGCTGTTTTGCTGCATAGAATATGTTCTACTGAAATCCTACACAGTTTATATAGCGTAAGTGAGTTTATATAACTATTCCAAAAAAACGAATAATTCAACTAGCATTTAAACGTATTCTATATTTGTGCAATTGATATCCAAAGGTCATCTGAAAAATAAGTGATTATGACAATTTCAATACAAAACCAACCTTACCTTATAAAATAATAGAACTTTAAACTATGAATCAGTAACATTATTTCTTTATCATATTTCACAGTAAATTATAGCATTTATGAGCGAAAATTGTATAATTAATATTATTCTAAACATTGTAATGTATTCACTTCATCTCTACAATGATAGTCGAATTCTCGTCTAACAGTTCGATTTTCAAGGAATATATGACATATTATCATTATATAAAATTAGATAACATACTTGTGTATTAGTGTCGAGTCGCAGTTGACTATGATCACCATTACAAATCGATTACGTGCCACTTATCAGGTAAAATCCCTCCGTAGGATAAATATTAAGAGGATAGTTGTAGATTGTAGTTAGGATATATTTGTTGATGATCTCGTGGTATCGAAATAATACCGAGACCGTGCCAAAGTTTACAGGCGGGACTACCGTGCATACTTGCGTAAGTTTAAGGTCACAACCAACGGAAAAAGTGTGTTTTTGATACAATTAAACAAAAAGGTACAATAAAAAAATTACTGGTACAGTTGGCTATAATAATAAATGTTTCCATTACACCAATCTTGTTCTCTTCATAAAAGTAGGTCATTACACCTGACTGATTTATCGCTTCCACTATATCATCACTCTGTAAAAATTTATTCGATATTTAAACCACTCTCCTATAGTACTCTGAAACTATCATTTGTGCATACTATTACTGCTTAAAATTCATAAGATATATTTGCAACTCCATAAATGTTGACTTTTATCCAAAATGTTAAGTTTTAATACTTCATTTTATAAACAAAAAACTTTAACGGCTAAAACAAAATGTAATACGATCCCGTTTTAACTATAAATATCACATTTATTAAGTCGTTACATGTTTTAACGTAATTGGAATCAGCTTTATTATTTACCCTTGTAAATCATATAAAAGAATATCGTAAACATATCTACGTAGATTATGGTATAGATTTTCAGAACCAATGAAATTAATTTCATCATATGTCAAAAGATCTAATTTATACATGCTTCTTTAATCAACTGACAATATACTTTCTTCTTTCTAATAAACAATTCCATTTCGTAGCTCATATTTCTTTTTCTCTTAAAATTGCATTCTAACAATAATTTGATTGATTAATTATACAAGTTGATCTAGAGTTAAGTTGCATAGTGTAAAATATCTAAAGTAACTAGTTAAATTTTTTTATTTTTTTAATCCAATATATCACGTGATACAAGAGCAAGATACAATTAAACATTCATAACAAACAGTGAAAATTAATTTTTTTTTGAATTAGTAATAAACAGTAAGTTAGTTAGTAACAAAGGGAGTTAATTGTAACTACATGTCTCTCAAAACTGTAATTAATCATCTTTACATATTTATGAAATTTCATTTTTTTAAAAATTATATACTTCATGTATAAAAAATACTAGACAAATTGATTGATTCTGATACAACTGATGAAACAACACACACACACAAATAACTTTAAATTAGCAGGCATTCATATGTTCTAAAGTATTTTAGATGTTAAGTTCTCACTTAACATTCCTCTTAGTCTCAGTCAATTTAACTACAAATCCAGTAAGAAAAATTATAGAAACTACTGATTTTAAAGTGTATACGATTACATAAGTAGTAAATAAACATTTAACTTGATGTTCTTCAAATATTTTTATTTGTATTAATATGATATTAACAAATATAATTTCCTTCTTATTAATTAACATAAACTAGAAACTTCACTATATAAAACGAGTGCAAAACATTAAAACCGTACTTGAAAGACTGAATAAAATAACAATTTCAGTTATTATGATTGTGTTAAGTGCATAAAAACATACGAGCAATACATAAAATTAATCAATGTTGGATTGAGCTCTGTAAAAAAGTATTGTAATTCACTGGATAATTCTAATATATACTTAGAGTGTTCAACCGATAATGCTGAAAAGTGTCTGTGGTAGTTCAAATATACTCACATTATTAATTTACATCAAAAAGCTTGAGCACTGAATAAGTCAAGATATTTCGATTCTCAACATCGTTCATGCCTTTTGAACTATGATCTCTATGTTCATTTTCAATCGCAATCATTATCATTATTTTGACTCTTCCGTGTTAAATATCTGTAGTTTACTTTTAATACATTGATATGAAGTGTCAAAATACTCAAATCGATAACATCTAATTAAAATTATTTACAAAATGATAAAAGTTGACTCATCCATAAAATTTTATATTTCTTTGAGGTTATAGTTGAATAAAATCATTCTCGCTGTTGTAGCCGGATATTCAATCATTCAGCTTAGCGACTGTTCATTTTATTATTTCAAGATAATGTTAGTATATTTAGTTCCTTGTAACAAACTAGAGAAAGATCGCAAACAAACTGTATAAATATATTTTCGATAATGCAATGAGAAGACGTAGTTTATCAGAATTATGTGATATATTTGCGCAATACATTTCGAACAATCTGATCACACATATAAATGTAATTACATGAATTTTAAATTACCTTAATTTACAAGAATACATGAGGTTAATCTATCTAGTTTCCTTGAAACTATTATATTAGGACATTTTTATACATAGCAGTTCACTTTACGACCAAACTTTACGAAATAACCAACCTAGAAACACCAGTTTTTCTTCTAGTTTTGAAATACCGGCCTAATAAGTAACAACTAAAAACATTTAATGTGAAGTACGCTATACTGTAAAGTGTTAAGTGTGGACCACCAAATAATGACCAGCTAGACAATTATATTGAAATCTAATGGTTACAGGTATGATTACATGTGTGATATTCTCTGCACATCACTGAGATGCTATAAACCAATGCAAATAATCATTGATCAAACGTTTGTCAGTTAATATCAGTTTTCGACAAAAATTGTCTTCAAATAGACACACATACAACTACTTCAAACCTTATCAGCACATAAATAAAAATAATTTCGTTTTGACTAGCATCGGAGTGAAGAATTAATGTGATTCAAAATGAATATTTGATAAAATTAATTATGAAAAATCCAGTACCGGTCTGATTCCAGAAAGACGTCAGCTGGGTTTTTAATGCAACAATGGATATCGACAATTTAAAATCGATTTTGATACACTTTTGAGTTCCATTTCTTTAAGATGAATAAAAAATACATACATTTTTAAGTCATAGAAGGACACAATGTCATATTAATAAATCTAGTCTACTAAGGGAGTTTGCTTATAAGGATCTGAAAATATGAATAAAACATGAATAGAAGCAAGGAAAGACATTTTTATCTTTAAAAAATGACTGATCATAGAAATTTCAATCAACAAAAATTGACTAGTTGCAAAATCATATCAATATTCAAGTAGTTAGATATTTGAATGAATGTTTTCTCATATTTCTCCTTGCAACAGATTTGTGAAATGGACTCGTTGTTCCCGATGGTTACAATACTTCTGGGGACAAAAAAGATTGAAATAAGTATATTTCAGTAAAACTCTGTTGATGTTAACATTCTAGATAACCATTTTAACTTTACAAATCTAATATAAGAAATATTTAACTTTCAAT